CCGCCATCTTAATTTACTTTATTATAAATAATACATATCTCACTTTCTTCTCTCTCTTCTAGACCATGGTAGGATAAGCTATAGGTTTTAAATTTATAATTTATGATAGTTCCCATTTGAGAGGGACTGAGGAATGTTATGTTGCTATATATAGAATACAATCAACCTTTTGAGTTTTGATCACCTAACTTCATTTTTTTATTTTTTTATTAGCTGTAAATTAAATAAAAAATAAAAAAAATACCCTCTTGCCGTCTATATTGTACAATTTATATCCCTTGATCCCATTAACAAAATATAAATGCTACATATGGTTTCCCTTTAAGCTTTCGGCTCATTCACCATTATTATACGTGGAGGTTCTTTCCTTTTGCTTTTAGTTTCATCTATCTAAACCCTATTTAATATGTTTCACATACTACCTTAATTTAAAATATATATTTAGGATTCTTGTGCCCTCAATTTATCAATTCTTATTTTTGGTAACTGAGGTGTTCGAGTCAGTTTGCACGCACCTTAACTAATCTTCGGGGTTAATAGAACACTCTACAAGCTCAAAAGACCAAGTAAACTGCAACGTTATTGTGGTAGGCAACTTCAAGGTTTGAACCAATAAACTAAAAGAAGTGAGCAAACCTCTTTGATCACCAGATCAATCCCTTGTGGTTAAGATTATCAATTTCTATTATGAATTAATTCCAATCATGTCTCTTAATTGTTTATTGCAAACCAAATAAGGAACCACTCATCAACTTAATTAATTTGTGCATTAAAAAAGAAGTTTGCGTAATTTCGCTATGTAATGGAACAAATTAACTTCATCGCAAGATATATATACAAAATTTTTGAAGGGTGATCCGAAGAACACATGGTTCTCCTATCCCTTACCAAATTAAATGGAAGCATTAATTCATCAACAATACTTGATTTAATAAATATATATGTGTGTGTGTGTGTGTGTCAAGTTCCAAGACTCCCCATACAAGTATCCTTTGGAAATTAAGTGGCTTAAAAGAATTTAGAAGCAACTATCAGATTCGGCATATATATTTATAAGGGTCCAATTCAATCACCAAAACATGGCCTAATTATTAAGCCAAGCAAACTATAGAAAATGAAACCACTAGTTCATCATAAATGAGAAAAAGGGCAAGATAAACTATAAACTTGTAATACCAAAAATGACATTTTATTTGCTTCTATTATAGGTGGTCATTTATACAATAAATGGTTCTAAAACATTTGTTTAACAAAGTCAGCCTTGCATATCTAAGATCTTCGAGAAATTAGGTGAGACACACCTTATCTCATCAATATCCACCACTTCTAATAAATTCTATTATCTATATTCATTAATTTGCCTTAATAATGACAAACAGTTGCACGTAATTAATCTGAGAATAATATTATTATCACAAAATTTTGTATACAATTACGTTGTAACACACAATAAATAAAATTATGAAAGTAAAAAAAAAAAAAATCAACATAACTAATGAAAATAAATTGCGTGATGGCATTATATATCAAAAATAAAAGATAAAAATAATCATTTAATGCAATACAAATAGTATAAGATAGGTGAATGAATATTATGTTAATTAAGAGTTTTGTTTTTTCAACTTTGAGGATGCATGGTTGAATTGTGAACATGTTGATTGATGCATGACATGAATATAGTTGTAAGAGATTTTATTTATTTATTTTTTTATTGGAGTTTGCGAATCTCGACTAAGGTAAACCGTAAATATGATAGATGATCTCAAGGCTCAAATCTAAGAAATCAATGAAGGAAACAATTATTCTTGATCGTCAGGGCAACCTTTGGAGTTGTGAGAGAAATAATTGTGGAGTTACAAAAACTAACCTAACGTAATATGTGAAGTACGTATGAAAAGAATTAAATGAAAATGGGAATTAATGTGATATTATATATGTTGGAGAGAAGGGATCATAGTTATGAAACAAAGTTGCTATATGAAATGTTAACGGGGGACATGGACTGATCAACCCAAGAACCTTACACGCCACCCCCCGTCCCCACTTCATCTCATCTCATCTCATCATCCCTACCCTCTGTCCGTACAACCAATTTTTAACTATTAAACAAGTTTAAATTTTTACCTCAAAATCAACCCATTAATCGAGTATCGATTCCTCTATAATGGGAACAAATTAAATGGTGGATTAAATTAACCAATAGAAAATATTTGAGATTAAATTATGGTCATTACAACAAGGCTGCCCTTCAAATTAAGATAACAATAACAGGTTTAAGAGATAAAGGGCTGCCCTTCAAATTAAGATAACAATAACAGGTTTAAGAGATAAAGGGCAAGGGCAATATATATTAGAACAAAAGTACATGACATCTTAGTTAAGGAAAATAATACAACCACCGACAGTAGTGCATTGAATTTATGCACCGAATGACGTGGTAAAATCCTGACCGTTGATTAATTTTAATTTAATATTAATCAACGGTTAAGATTTTGCCATGTCATTTGGTGCACTACCGTCGGTGGCTGTAGCATTACTCCTTAGTTAAAAACCGTTCTTAGTTTGGTCCCACTTCTCTTATTATACTAGTAGTGTGAATTGTGGGTTCAAAAGGAAACAATCAAAACTATATAGCTTAGTTAATTAATTAAGAATGATAGGTTTCACCAATGTTTTATCAATAAAGATAGTTGGTTAATATTTTTTACTAACGTTCTCTTATAATCGTAATTGGTCAATTCACAATTGATCAGATATGACCTAATGCTGGACAGACGAGACATATTGTAAGTTGATCAATTACGAACTGTTACGTCACGTTTGTAAAAAAAAAAAATTAGTGAGAAAAGTTTATAAATCTAGTATTATTTATNTAGCGGGGGACATGGACTGATCAACCCAAGAACCTTACACGCCACCCCCCCGTCCCCACTTCATCTCATCATCCCTACCCTCTGTCCGTACAACCAATTTTTAACTATTAAACAAGTTTAAATTTTTACCTCAAATCAACCCATTAATCGAGTATCGATTCCTCTATAATGGGAACAAATTAAATAGTGGATTAAATTAACCAATAGAAAATATTTGAGGTTAAATTATGGTCATTACAACAAGGCTGCCCTTCAAATTAAGATAACAATAATAGGTTTAAGAGATAAAGGGCAAGGCCAATTTATATTAGAACACAAGTACAAGACATCTTAGTTAAAGGCCGTTCTTAATTTGGTCTCACTTTTCTTATTATACTAGTAGTGTGAATTGTGGGTTCAAAAGGAAACAATCAAAACTATATAGCTTAGTTAATTAATTAAGAATGACAGGTTTCACTAATGTTTTATCAATAAAGATAGATTGATAAATATTTTTCGTTAACTTTTTCTTACAAACACGATATGAAAGTTCGCAATTGATCAAATAAGACCTAATGTTGGACAGACGAGACATATTACAAGTTGATCAATTACGAATTGTCACGTCATATTTATAAAAAAAAACTTAATGAGAAGAGTTTGTAAAAATAGTATTACTTATGTTTTATATATTATTTCTCGAAGCTTTAACTTATTGGAAGAATATGTCCAGCCCTTGCTATTTTATTAGTGATAATGTAGCCTCGGAAAAACCATACTGAATTAGTGATAATCCTTGAGATATAAATATATACATAGATTCGATCCAATGAGTGGGCGAAAGGACAATGAAGTGATGGAGTGTACGTACCTTCGATTTTCTCTATCTTACTCACCCACCCAGAAACTTTCAATTAATTTCTGCACAGGCATTTTTGTTATACATTTATTTCGCCTGTGATCCTGGGATCACTGCAATGTAATTAACCAACCCTATTGTTTATATTTACACGTCTTTTATTGCAGACACTGCATATGATTAAGTCTCTGGATAAGACTTTCAATTGATTGGTAATTTAGAAGAAAGGTTGAGGAAATGAAAGGATTGCCAGGAGAGGGGAGCCACAACTCCAGCTACATTTGCTGTGTCGATCGGGGATGGCCCTCTTTTGTCCAAATCTGCCACGCTAATATTGACCTATTGTTGAACTTTACAAAATTGCATTAATTTCTAATTGTCCCAAATGAAATTTAATTTTAATTTCACCATCAAAATATCTATTCCAACTTCATATTATAATGAATTCAAACCTGAATGAATTTGTAATTGGTTGCAACATTTCTCTCCAAGGAAACTAACAATATGCCTGACATCCATTGGAGGGATTCCGTCGGTGTTTGAATTTGCCTCCTAGGTAAAGGAATAGCCTTTCAAACAGAGAGGAACTCCCATCAGGAGCTCCCATGTGTATTTTAGGTATAAAGTTTGAGTACAAGATCAACAAGAATTTTGTAAACAAAAAAAAACCCTAGTGACGATTCTTACCATATCATTTCCACTTTGTCTTCACTTGGAAGCTGTAAAATTAGAATTAACTAGTTTATCTCTAAAACCCCTTTTCTTATTATTCTTAATTAATTAAGTAGCTGCCCTACTTTCTCATGATTACATCTCAAAAGAAAAACAAAGAAAATCCAACTTTAGGATGATAGTATGTGGATTACTAGCTAGCAGATTTTGGTTTTACAGTTCAACTTGTACTCAGGAAGGTCCAGTCCAATCTATTGTCAATTATAATCTTGAATTAATTTGCACTAATATATACAAAGTTATGGTAATAGTGATTAATTTAGGATTTTATTAAAGTCCTTTTAGCTAGAGATATTGTATCTCATATCTCTTTATGTGAATCCATACCCAAAGAGGTCTGTCAGTCTCTCTCATGAGGAGTGACGTTGTTATACAGAGTTCAATATCTAGTTTTAGTTGGTTAATACTGTAATTCACGATTAATTAAATCTTAAAATAATTAATATTTTTGTGTGTGTACACATATGTATAAATATATATGTTGTGAGTGTCCCTACTTAAATTACTTCTCTTCAGAGCATTGAGCCAGTCTCCATATAAATTCTTCTATGAACAAAAGGAATATATAGACATATATCACCATCTCTCATTCTCTCTCTTTCTGTTGAATGCTGATTAAGCCCCGTAGTATTTGATCATCCTCTCCGGTTTACCCTCCATTGAACTACACAAAAACTCATTCTCTTTCACTCGTGGATAAGACTTCTCTTAATCCACTCCAACTCCAATTGCCTCATCATAAACCTAATCTCTCTTTCAAATATATCAAAAGAAAAATTCCCGGCCTAATCTCTCAACTCATGAACCACTTACTACTCTTTCCAACACCAAACTAATGTTTTTCGGCTCAATGGGTTCTCTTCAGTTTTGCTCTTTCTCTTGAAGTTGAATTCAAGCAAGTTCTTCTTTTCAACTTAAGCTAAATATAGTTATTTCCTTTCAACAGTATACATACTCTCTGTTTGCACGTACTGTTCATGGATTGCCTGAGAGAAATTGAAGGCAAACAGGCACATGATCCTATATTCATGGAAAAAATGAAAAAATCTTCACGTTGTGTATGCGTGCCAGGGCCAGTGATCGTGGGAGCTGGACCTTCAGGTCTAGCAGCAGCCGCATGTCTCAAAGAAAAGGGTGTACCGAGTATAGTCTTAGAGAGATCTAACTGCATAGCATCTTTATGGCAGCTCAAAACCTATGATCGTCTTAGTCTTCACTTACCAAAGCAATTTTGCGAGCTTCCTCTCATGGGATTCCCTGCCGATTTTCCAACTTACCCTACTAAGCAACAATTCGTTGACTATTTAGAATCATATGCCAAAAAATTTGATATTAGCCCAAGGTTCAACGAGACAGTAGCGCAAGCTGAGTATGATGCCACGGTTCGGTTTTGGCGCGTGAAGACTGTAGGGGGAAAAGGGGAGGAGAAAGAGTATATGTGTCGGTGGCTGGTGGTGGCGACAGGAGAGAATGCGGAGGCGGTGGTGCCGGAGATTGAAGGAAGTGAAGAATTTGGAGGAGATTTAAGGCATACAAGTTTGTACAAAAGTGGAGAGGAGTTTAGAGGAAAAAGGGTTTTGGTGGTAGGGTGTGGGAATTCTGGAATGGAGGTGTGTTTGGATCTTTGCAATCATGATGCCAGGCCTTCACTTGTGGTCAGAGATACAGTAAGAATTCTTATTTCCTTAACCCTCTCTCTCTCTTTTCTTTCCATTAAAGCAAAATACAAAAGTTCTTATTTTACTTTAATATAATATAGCAAGTTTGGATGAACAATATGTGACATTATAAGTTCTTTTTCTTGATTTTTTAGGTTATTCTCACAGCAAACCCATATGAGAATGTATCTTATTTCAAATCTATATATATTAAAAAATTATAAATAAAGAAAGGGCAATGTTCAACCACTGTTTTGTTGCTTTTTAGTATTATATAAATATATTAAACACCACAAAATAGAAAAACATTAATAAAGTTAAAACGAGTGAAAAACTGTTGCGTTGGAGGCTTCAAATACCAACGGAAACGGTTTCTGCAGAAGAAATTATAAATATGTATGGTTAATGTTTGAGAGAAAGGGATGAAAAATCTTGATCTTTCACTTTCTTGGGATTCCCAGGCATGCGCAACATTGCTCAGAAACGTAGGATGTTCTTTACATTGTCAAAATCATATGCATCTTTCCCTTTTCTTCGTCTTCTAAGATTACTTTTTTTCTGTATAATGAACAGAAGTAATGGCCTGGAAACAATTTGCCATTAAGTATATCTAGTGAATCTTTTTCGGCTGCATCAATGTAACTTCAATTTTAATTGATTTTTTTTGGTAAAACTGAAGGTACACGTCCTACCCCGAGAGATGCTGGGAAAATCAACTTTCGGGTTGTCCATGTGGTTGCTCAAGTGGCTGCCCATGCGTCTTGTCGATAAGTTCCTGCTCATCGTATCATGGTTGATGCTCGGTGACACGGCTCGATTCGGATTGGACCGGCCGCAGTTGGGTCCCCTTGAACTCAAGAATTTGTCAGGAAAGACACCCGTATTGGATGTTGGGACACTAGCCAAGATCAAAAGTGGAGACATTGAGGTACTTGCCATAGATCATCAAATATAACATCACTTTTTCTCAATCTCTCTCTCTCTCTCTCTCTCTCTCTCTTTAGCAGCTAAGTGTTTGATGGATCCCCTATTATATATCACTGTTGTCAACAGTCTTACCTTTGCTTTTCTTGATGGAATACACATTGTCTCCGATATCATTTTGTTTTTGATTCTCCCTTTCAAATCAACTTTTTTTTTTTTGTTCTTAACTAAAATCATGAATCTTATTGTTTGTTAATTGGTGTAGGTATTTCCAGGAATCAAGCGCCTTAAAGATCATGCTGTGGAGTTTGTAAACGGAAGAAGTCAGAACTTTGATGCCATCATATTGGCAACTGGTTACAAAAGCAATGTACCCTCTTGGCTAAAGGTAACTTTATCTGTATTATTTTTTTATTTTTAGGTATAGTATTATTATTAGTGCAAAAATTTTCAAAAGTCTAATAATAGAGAGGGACATGGGTTGAAATTGTCAGGAAAGAGAGATGTTTTCAGAGAAAGATGGGTTGCCTCGAAGGCCATTTCCAAATGGGTGGAAAGGTGAATGTGGTCTATATGCCGTGGGGTTCACTAAACGTGGATTACTAGGTGCTTCAATGGATGCCAACAGACTTGCAGCTGACATTGAGCGCTGCTGGAAAGCTGAATCAAAACATTGTGTATGCCCTTTTCTCCCTCACTTTTGCCACAATCATCACCATGACTTTGGTATTTACTAGTATAGAAAAAATTTATTTTCATTGAATAAGTAAGTTTGGAGGATTTTGATGGTGCCAACCAAAGTAGCTAGTTACTCCTCCAACCGTGACGAAAAGAGAAACTACCCAAAAAAAAAAATACCTTTATTTTTCAAGATCGCTCACACCATCAAGACAAGAGTTTGAGAAGCAATGGAAGAAGAAGTTTTGAGAATGAAAGTGGGGGGACCTGCTGAGCCATCTGTACATTGATCTTGTACATTACAAATTTTTATCTGATTAGGTATGACTTCTTTAGATAGAGATGGAGAAGAAAGAATATGGAGGGCGGGGATGGGGGTGTTTGATTCTCTAAATTAAATTGTTTAATTTTCTGAGTGTTTTAACTTACAAAATTTCTAATCGGATTTGGGATCGGTGTAGAAGAGAAGAGAGTATTAACAATTTTAATTTTGTGTTTCACAAGGAAAATCAAAAACGTTATTGACTTGTAATTAATCAAATCCTTACTTATTAGTCAATTTTTGTTTTTTTGTTTTTGTTTTTTTAATTTCCCACTTGGGTTAGTGTTACTTTTTTTTCTTCTGTGCCTACATAACTATCTATATCTTCTAAATTTAGTGAATTTATGCAATTTCACTGTCGAAATCATTTCATTTCCAACTACAAACTTGGACCACCACTTCTCATCATAGATCAACCCATTACCTAAAAATATATTATATACTTGGTAAAATTTGGAGCTGGCTCTATTCAACAACCCAAGATCAATTATGGCTCTCAAAGAAAAGAAAGTGAAAAGAGGGTTTGTTTGGTCAATTAAGGGCAATCAATATATATAGACAGAGCATAACCTTGTAATGGGTAATGGTAACTTGAAATAGGCAAACAGATGTGATGTTCATTATTGAGTGCTTTAAATCAACAGTAACTTATTATGTATAACATAAAGTTCTTCTCTGCAATCACAAAAAGAAAAAGGGAAATCCGCATGGATGAGATGTTTTCAACCTGAAAAGTTTAATTGTTCGACGATCCCACTTAGATTTGATTGACTTTAATAAATAATTTTTTTTTTCTCTTTTAAATAACCTAAAAAAAAAATTGGTCAAGATATTTAATAATTATGTCAAATAATTTATATCATTCAGACATGCAAATATTATTTATGATTCAATTGTCAAATCTAAAATTCTGTAGGGCAAATTGATAACAAAATGTTGTTCACAAAAGATGATGTTATTATCATACACTATTGTTGTTTTAACAACCCTGCATGTAAACAAACCCATCTTAATTTCCAGAGATTAAGTTTGACCCAATGCTAATTATTTATTTAATAAAATTTCATACTCTTTTATCATGCATAGTCATACCAAGACAACAAAATATCCATCAAATTTAATTAATTACCATGCACATAAATTAAATTCGACCTTTTTTTTATAGGATTTTTTTTTTTTTTTAAACAGAGTGTCTGAACCAGCTTACATGTACCTCGACTAATCCCTATATATGACTATCACAACATGTCAACATCCCTACGCTGGTCAAAATCCCACTGCTATAATCAGTGCTTAAATCTTGTAAGTCAAGAGGATTCGAACTTAAAACTATGTTCTTTAATCACACATTCCAACATTGGTCCTACCACTAGATCTACTCAAGGGTGGGGTTTCTTTTTTTATAGGATGCTTTTTTTTTTTTTTTTTTTTTTTTTTTTTTTTTTTTTTAATAAGATGATGAGTTAATCTTCATCTAGAGATTAGGGACACTTAAATCTTGTGAGCCAAGGAGATTCGAACCTAAGACCATGCGCCTTAACCATACATCCCAACACTCGTCCTACCACTAGATTTACTCAAGGGTGGGGTTTCCTTTTTATAGGATGCTTTTTAATTTTTAATTTTTTAATAAGATGTTGAGTTAATCTTCATCCAGAGATTAGGGATGGACTAACTCATCATCCAATATAAGAAAAGCCCTAGTTTGTATTTAATTAACACACCTCAGTACAGTGTTAATCTTATATGTGTAAATTCATACATGATACATTTATTTGATTACAAATTAAAAGAAAGTCAATCTTGTGTAATGTAAGTAAATTAAAATTGATAACGAACTACCATTGGGTGGTCTGATGATAAAAGAGCAAAAAAGAGTTATATGAGCTCATGAGTTCGAGTCGTCCTAGGCATACTCCGCCGACAATTCCAGGACTTTGAGTATTAGTTAAGGTGCACGCAAATTGGTCCGAATATCCCTGGTGAAATTAAAAAAAAAATTGATAGCATATGATTATATCTACATGCATGCATGGATGTGAATATACATATGTATGTATGGTATACATAAATGAGATGAGAATGTTAGTTAGGGTTTTTTAAGAATGCAGGATGATGGGGTTTATTCCGACCGCGGAGTGTTGACCTAGAGAATAAGAACATTGCAGTGCCACGAGTATGTATATACTTAAAAAAAGGGTTTTAATTTCCTCTTTTGCAATCCTATATAAGGCAAGCAATAGAGGTTATGGGAGGGCCCATGAGATCCCCCAATGGCCACCTCTTTTTAGGCCTTTATTATCATCAACTGTCCTCTTTCTCTTTCTAATTTCAATTTTTTTTTTTTTATTTTAATAGTAAAAACATCTTATCACTCTCCCAACTACAACCAACTCTTTGGCTACAAGTCATGAGGATCTTTACTTTTTTGATCCTTTAGATTTTATAAAAAAGTTAATGCTATGAGGACCCCAAGTTACACTTAACACACACCGCCCTTTCCTAATTAATCAATCCCTAATTAATTCACACTTTTTTTTTTTTTTTTGGTTATCAAAATATTCAGAAAATTTACATGCATCTCAATTAATTTTCATGGTCCATTAAATACCTTATAAACCTAAAAGATCAAGTAAGTTATAATATTATTATAGTAGGTGACCTCAAGATTTGAACCTAAAAACTCAATGAAATGAGCAAACCTCCTTCACAACTAGGCCCAGTCAACCCCTTAGGGTTAATTAATTCACTTATTATTTGCTTAACCATTTTCAGATTTATATTTATATTTATGTTATATGGTTGACAAAATATCTTTGAGCTTTAGGCAATTAATTACATTTCTCTTAAATCATTTCACCTTAATTTGAATTAATGGAAATCTAAATCAATTCTTGAGTCAAAATTTACTTGCTCAATCTATGTGGGTAGTTGTCACCCAAAAATAGTATAAAATATCTTGGAAAAAAGTTGGATAAGATCATAGAATTCTTCTTCTTTCCCGAGAAAGATATTAGTGTATCAATTATTACAAAACAATTAAAGTAATTAAAATTAAAATTAATTAATTAATTGATTGGTGGTCCTGGTAAGGTGTATTATCATCCACACAAATGATGATAGGTTTTTCACGAGGTCCGTAGGCATATGGTGCACATGGTCAGCATCAGAAATCAGGACCATCCAATTTGATTGGGCCAAAAAGCCTTTAATATTTGTGGTCCAAAATATTGATTATCCGAACGGCTTGAATTCAATCGCCCTATTCTGGACCATTTCCAGGCCTTCCTTCTAAATTGACTGCTACAAATCAACATCAGAATCCGGTGGCGGGGAGTTTATCAGTCAACGATTGATCATCCAGTCTAAAATATGATTGGCTTTTATCATCATATGATCATTATTCCTCGAATCGAATGTCTGTCAAATTATTTACGCTTATGCACAGGTGTTGATAATACCTAAACCTAATTAGACATTACTTTCAAGACTTGATTAAACAAAATAATTAATCTCGCAGTGCATCCCAGTCCCTTTGTTCCTTTTGCTTTCTCTCGGTCGTCGATTGTTTCTCAAGGGTCAGGGTGATAGGGAGTTCCTCCCCCTTTAGGTGCATTGGTGCTTGAATTTGACACTAATAACTTGTACGTATAAAATATTAAACAAACTTAAAAATTACACGTGATATGAAAATGTGCAATTAGAGAAGAGACAAGAGACAATTTTTAAAGTGGTTCAGATATTCAAAAGAGAACAGTACGTCCACTATATATGTATTAATGGATGGTTACAGTTAGGTCGCGTGCAACGAACTGAGTCACAATCTAAAGAAACTTAAACGTAGAGAGAGAGAATCTGCTTTTGAAAATTAAAGAATGAGCGAATCTCATAAATGAGATAGAAGCCCTCTATTCACACTTTCTAACCTGCTTTCCATTATTTGTCTGTACATGAGATATCCTTAAATTGCATAGGACTTAGATAGGTGGACAATTTCTAATCACTCACAAGTTAAGCTTTCACCTGTCACACTGATAACAGTCTTACCTCTTTTGTTCTTGCGTAACATGATAGTGTTTGAACGGCACGAAGTCTTCATAAACTCTTATTGGCTCTTCCTAGCGTGAGTTTATACCAACTTGATTTGTTAGGTATAACAAGTCGAGCGCCTTTATAAAATTTCCATTTGCTGAAAAAAATAATTAATCTCGTAGATATTGACAAAGTAATTCATGGTGGGACGTACCATTTTCTGTCAAAGCTTTGACAACTTGTCATAAATTCAATTGAAGATATGAATCGATTCACATTCCCACCATTGTGATGCAATGCAATTGCTTTCAGAATATTCCTAAAAGCTGTACGTATTTTCTATATAATCCAATTAAGATTAGGGAAATTAATCCAATCAGTAATTGGTGGTGGATTGGGTTAATGATGAATGTAGTGAGTGAAAGAACAAGAGGCCCACAACCTCCTCCTGACTCCATGGGAGATGGAGCTTTATTACGTGTATGAAAGGGGCAAGACATGCAAGCGTGAGATTAAATGAGAATGACACACTCATCATCATAACATGAAGATGATGATGATGATCAGTATTATTCATTATTCAATCACATCATTGTGATTATTAAGAGATTGAGACTACTGAAACTTAGACTCCATATATGCAAATTTTCATACCAGCACGACTCTCTTTTTTCCTCTTTTCTCTTCCTTTCTTTTATAAACTTGGGACCACGGATAGTGGTGGATCCAGAATTTTTGCTAAGGGAGGGCCTCTACGGCTCCACCATTGTTTGCCAAACAACTAATGAAAAATTTTAAAAAATTATCAAACTTTAAGCAAATGAAATAATATAATATGAAGAACCTGAAAGAAAATAATATAATAATACAATATTTTTTAACTTAAATAAATATATGAGAAGCAAAATCTTGAATAAATGTGTTAAAAATAACATCCAATTTACAAGAAAACATAACAAATTTTTTACGTGGAAAACCATCTTCAATGTGAAGAGAGCAAAAAACCATGGAAATCTAACGATTTACTTAAATCTAATATAATCAAAAGAGTTTACAATAACCATAATAAAAAAATTCCACACAAATTTCTTATTTTTCCTTTTTTTTTTTTTGTCGTTTTATTTATTTATTTATTTTTTGCTTC